CGGCCAAAAATTTTGGTCGCCAATTGCGACATTCTACGACCAAAAATTTTGGTCGCCAATAGTGACATTCTACGACCTCTTAGTTTGGTCACCAATTGTTACATTCCACGACCAAACATGTTTGTCGCCAAAAGAAATGTTTGCGCAACTAAAACTTTAGTCGGCAATAGACCTATTCGCGACCAAATCCTTTGGTTGCCAAAATTAATAATTTTAACGACTAATTATTTAGTTGCCAAATGTGCTTGGTGATACACCGACTACTTTATTTAGTCGGCAAAAGTATAACTTACTGGGGCACGAGTGCCCTTATTAGTTTTGGGGCTTTGATTAGTAAAAATTATTGGGAATTTGGGACAAAAGTACAACATTTCACACTCTCAGTTGCCATGGAATGCAAAAGATCATAACATTTCCCCATCAATCATAAACATTACAAGACAACTTTATTTCTTTACAATCGTGTCAAGTACAAAGAGAGACAGACACAGAGAAGTTACAGAATCAACTTAACCTTCCCCACCAAAAAAATAGCAAGACTGTCTGCAAGATAACAAGGTAAAAGCTACATACTAAACTTTACATTCCCAATATATACATTCATGCAGCAGTAGCATGAAAGTTACCCTTAGATGGCTTCCCACATTTGCTTGCTTCTTCCATTCCGAACTCTTTTTGCTGCTCTCTGTTCAGTGTTCAAATCTTCAACACTACAATCATATTCTAAACTAGGATCTGTCAATATCTTGCCACAAACATTTTGAGGATTTTCTATTTGGTTATTGCATCCAATTGGTGAACCTCCACAGTTTTCAATCACTCCAACTGACAGAACCTTAGCAGGGGTATGATCCACACTCTTAAAGCTTTCTTCTTTACCTTTCTTCACCACTTTGTTATCTTTAATTACAAAAGTTTTAGTCGGAACATCACAAGAGTTGGCCAATCCCATGGCAATCCTCCTCCTCAGCCACTGTTTATGAAAAAAATTAATGAAAAAAGATCTATGTCATAAGCGTTGGCCAATCCCATCACAAGAGATGTACATAAGCTTTATGAAAAAAATTAGCACCCAAAAAACAGAAATAAAAAATAAAAAGATCTATGTCAATGATTTGTTAATGCTTATCCTAATTATTTTATACAATTTTTGAGATATAATCAAGATCTTAGGATAATTTATTAGACTAACATTTTAAGACATTTTCATATCTAATCAATGCAATTTATCCTATTACATAATACGTGAAATAGTTGGGGTCATGCCATAAATATTGTAGGAATACTAATAAAACAAAGGACCAATAAAAGAGTTTTCAAAAGCTCAGGAGGGGCCATTCTATATAACTTGTAGGGCTACAAACGAATCGAGCCGAGCCAAGCTTTGCTAAGCTCGAGCTCGGCTCGTTTACTTATCGAGCTCGTTTATTGAGCTCGAGCTCGGCTCGATAAAAAACTGGGCTCAAGCTCGGCTCGGCTCGGCTAGTTAATATTAATGAAGCTCGAGCTCGGCTCGGCTCGGCTTGGCTCGGCTCGATAATTTTTTTTTAATATTAGTTATATTATTTAATATATAAATAATGTATTTATATTATTATTTATATATATTTATATATTATTTAATATATAAATAATATATTTATTATATAATTTAAATAAAGATAAACGAGCCGAGCTTATATGAGCTCGAGCTCGAGCGGGCCAAGCCGAGCCGAGCCCTGCCCTTAACGAACCAAGCTGAGCTTGTTCATGAACAGCTCGGTTCATTTGCAGCCCTAATAACTTGTATAAATATTCATAAACTAGAGGGGTAATAAAAGAATTTTGAAGATAATAAATTGAAGATAATATTATTGTAGAATGTAAATTATATGAGTCAGATAAAGTAGTTCGCGACAACCTATTTTCTGACAGTAGTAACAAATATTCAAGTGGCGTATATCAATTCAACGAAGCTGAAATTTGCAATGAGCATAGTGCCTACACAGTTCTGTAGTAAGAACAACAATTAGGATTGCCAATATATTTTTACGATCTCTTTTGCGTAAATGCAAATTGAAGTATTGTATATTGCTCCGTCAATTGAAAAGATCTTTAATAAGCTAGAATTTTTAGACTTCCGTTGATGTAATTAATTTTCTCTCTATTTTTCATTTCAACAGAACCTTTTATGGTCTCTCTTGATTTATTACCCCACAAACTTATGGCCAAACAAGACAAAACAGAATAAACCCCGAAGAAGAGAAGAATAATTGCAAATCTATCAAATAAAGAGCAAATTTCCACGTAAAGCATAAAAAATATTCAAAATAGACAAACTCAATCACTAAGAGCTAAGCACATGCTCTTACCTACTTTTCCTACGTCCTCTCCTGATCATCGCAAGCCGATGGGCAGTCACAGTCAAAGTATCATTAGTTGCAAGAGATTGCTCTCTAGCTGTAGGCAAATCAAAATCGGTTAGTGGATTTAGCATGACTTCTCCATCACTATCTTCCCCTTCACTTGATGAAAGCATGTATTCAACAATCCCCTCAGTGTCCTCCCAGTCATCAAGTGAAGAAAAACCCTATAAAACAAGGGGGGAAAAAGAACTAATAATAGAATTATGAAAAATGAATTTCTCAATACAATGCAAATAATTTGTAAGATCATTTATGGCGCTACCATCAACTATTGTAGATATCATATTAAATAGCATTGCAGGATAACATAACAAATTCACCTCTACTTAACTAGACTATCATCTCCCAAGCTCTTTGATGTACATCATTATGCACTTGTACTAGTGTTGTGTGACAAAGAGAAAAGAGGGGATGGGTGGTGATTGCAATTTGTAAAAAAAGGAAAAAACAGAAAGATATTAGAGCCCACCATTTCAATTTGGAAAACAATCTAAAGCAATGACGGAACCACAGAGAGAGTAAGTAGGTGCTCTCCTAACTTATAAAAATTCTATTCTTTAACTATAATTTTAAAGAATTTTTTTAAATGTAACCCCTCTAAAATTTCATCATGCCGCTCTAATTTTTTTTTATAACCCTTCTCTTATTTTATCTTTTCAATATAATTCTCGCAATTTGTACCTTTAAAAGGCCTCATTTGGGAACAGGCTATTTTAGTAATTTTTTAGTTTTTTGACTAAAATATGAGGTAAAAAAACTAGTATGTTTGGGATGACTTGTTGGCCATTGATGGAAAAAAGTGCAAAAAGTAGAGAGAAAAAAGAATCTTTGACTTTTTTTTGTATTGTTTGTTTACTTTTAGGGATTTTTGGCCTTCAAAAGTCTCGTTTATATATTTCACATTATTTCTTTCTAATATTCCATTATATTTTCCCACTTATGTTTTTTTTTTCTTATCTTCAATAAGAAATTAACTTATAAATCTTGTTCTCTTGTTAAATTTTGTGATGACCCATTTACTAGCTTAGATCAAACCTATAATCTTTGTTTTTGGAGGTTCTATTGGTTGAAACATTAAGGACTTGTTCAATTCTAACTTTGGTGAATTTGGGATGGTAGTATTATAGGTTTACAGAATTCAAGATTAGGGAATGATTAGGATATCATGCCCTATTTATATTAATGAAGATTAATAATTACAAGGGAGTCCTAAGGCATAGAATAATTGCAAAATAATAACCCAAATAATAATATATTATGGTAACATTCCCCTTCAAGCTGGTGTGAAGACATCTCTCGTGCCCAGCTTGCCTAAGATGTCATGAAATGGCTTACTCCCAACTCCCTTGGTGAGGATGTCAGCAAATTGTTCACCAAACTGCACAAAGGGAGTACATATGGTGCCACTAGTGAGTTTCTCCTTAATGAAGTGGCTATCAATCTCAACATGCTTTGTCTTATTATGTTGAACCGAATTGTGAGCGATGTTGATAGCGGCCTTATTATCACAGTATAACCGCATGGAGTCAATATGATCAATACCTAGATCACTCACAAATAACTTGATCCATATGAGCTCACACACCTCTTGTGCCATAGCACTAAACTCAGCTTCTGCACTTGATTTGGCAACTATATTCTGTTTCTTACTCCTCTAAGTAACTAGGTTGCCTCTAACAAAGGTTTAATACCCTGATGTCGATCTCCTATCAGTTACTGATCCAGCCCAGTCAACATTTGTATAGGCTTCCATACGAAGATGATCATACTTTGAAAAATAAAGACCCTTACTAGGAGTAGATTTCAAGTACCTCAAAATTCTTGTGACAACCTCGAAGTGAATCTGATGAGGAGCATGCATAAAATGGCTAACCACACTAACAGCAATAGTAATATTAGGACGAGAGTGAGATAGATAAATGAGCTTACCCACTAATTGCTGATAGCTCCTCCTTTCAACAACTTTTCCTCCTTCATTATCCCCTAATTTCTGATTGGGTTCTAGTGGAGTGTCACAAACCTTGACGTCGAGCATCCCAGTTTCCTTCAATAGGTCAAGCACATACTTTCTCTATGAGATAAATATTCTGTCCTTGGAGGGAGCAACTTCAATTCCCAGAAAATACTTCAAGCTTCCCAAGTCCTTGATTTTAAACTCACAGGTCTATTTGATCCAGGAAGTAGAGACCATTTGCTGCACTACCACTGCCAATCGTCCTCCTCGTGACAAGGTCCTCAAAAAGACAATGATCAGGAAAAAACGTCACACTACAATTCAAATCCTGGGTAATACGACTCAAGGATAACAGGTTAACAGAAAAATCAGGAACGTGGAGCACAGAAGATAGAGGTATGCTAGGAGTGACATGGACTAAACCTTTCACAGAAATGGAAGAAATAATACCATCTGCAATCCTAATTTTGTCTTGACTTGAAGAGGGCTTATAGGAAGAGAAAAGGTTAGAGGATCCAGACATATGATCTGAGGCACCAGAATCAATAATCCAGGGCAAGGACTTATGAGATAGGAAAACACGAGGATAAGAGGCTAAGTTACCTGAGCGGACAAACAACGAGGAAGATGGAGTGAAAGCAATAAAAAATCGGTGGTCCAATAAGCGACGCAAAACATCCTCAAGTTCATGAGTAGTCATGCCACAGAGACCATCAGAAGCGTGGCCAATTGAAACAGAAGTAGCATCAAGTGTATCAACGATACTAGACTGATGAACTCATGGATGGGAGCCATATCCTTGAGACTGGCTTGACCGACCTCCTCTACAACCAGACCGATCACCTCGACCCCTGGATAGAGGCCGATGAAGCTTTCAACACGTCTCACTAGTATGCCATGACTCTTTACAATAATCACATAATACAGACTCCTTAGTTGCAGACGGAGGGAATAAGAGTCAGGCTGAGGCCATCTCGAGGGGTAGACAGTAATTCTAAGCGGTCAGTAGAGACAGAGGGCATCATAGCAGACCGGTGCAAATGCCTCTTGAAGTGAAGGAAGAGTGTCCATACCCAAAACTCGACTCCTAACCGGATCATACTTCACATTGAGGCCCACCAGCAACTTGAAGACCTGTCCTATGCGATGAACTTCCTGTACTTGACTGAATCAGTAGTGCAAATAGGTTTATAGTCCTACAGGTGATCAAGGTGTTTCCAGCTGTTGGTGAGGAAGGTGAAGTACTGAAGAACAGTCTGCTCCCCCTGAACAGAGCTCTCAATAGAGCGACATAACTCAAATGCCTGTGAGAAATTTCTTTTTCGGGAATAGGTGGTAGTCATAGAATCCCAAACATCCTGGGCAGTCTCCATAGACAAGTAGCCCTCACTAATTTCTGGAACCATCGAATGAATAAGCCAACCCATAATCGAAGAGTTGGTAATCTCCCATTGGTCATAACCCGAGTCAGTGGTGCTGGGTGCCGTTATCCTACCATCTACATACCCCATTTTCTCTCTGCTCTTCAAAAACGTAGCCAAACTCTGTGACCATACGAAATAGTTCTGACCATTAAATAGGGAGTAGTGATTTTAAGACTAGGGTTGGGGTTATCAATCATAGTAGTAGGTATAGGGAAACACTCACTCCTAGGTGTCTAAGAAGTAGTGGACAAACCGGTGGAATCTGCCATAGATACTGTACTATCGAACCCTTAACAAAACTAGTGTTAATCACAAACCCGAAAGGTGGAGAAATACAAACACAATGACCACTAAGAAAATAAAGTCTTAACAATTCATGAACCTTTTTTTCTTTTTAGAAAGACGAAGACAGACACAACCAAAATAAGAACAGAGGTGATGAACTCAAACCACTATCAGCGATTAACACATCATCATGAAGAGACGAGATGGGCAAATGACCTTCACGAAAGAATAGAGAGCGTCGAATGACTCCAAACAAGGCAGAGAGCCTGTCGGCTGAGACTGAGAAACACCAGTGGCAGTTAGCAAGTCTTGGAAGACTTATTGGCCAGACGATAACAGAATTGTAATGGTAGTCGGCGGGGGTGTGAGGATCGACACACCAGGATGAGACCAAAAGGCCTGGTGCCAGTGTCCGACTGGGCTAGAAGAGCTCTCGGTAGCCCTGACTAGGTATGACGAGACAAAAAAAAACCTATGGTAGTGGCTGTGTGGTGGCTGTGTGGGTCTAGGGTTGTGGCTCTAATACCATATAGGTTTACAGAATTCAAGATTATGGAATGATTAGGATATCATCCCCTATTTATATTAATAAAGATTAATAATTACAAGGGAGCCCTAAGGCGTAGAATAATTACAAAATGATAACCCAAATAATAATATATTATGCTAACAAGTATTTGTGTTTGAACTAAGAAACTTCTGTTTTTTGTGGCTTAAGAAAATAAAAACCTTTGTGAACGCTTTCAATAAAAGGTTAATGAGTCTATATTTTTATGAAGTCATAAAAAAATGTGTGAATTATTCAATCAACATGACAAATTATTTGTTTTACTCCCCTTATCAAATTACTCTGATGAGGTATGTAGTACTAGTGATTACTCTAGATTTGGAGTCAACTTCCTACAAGTTGTGTTTTCATTGATTTAGGTAGCACATAAGTGAGAAGCAAGAACATGAAAAGCATATTGGAATCCCTATGGAAAACTATTTAGGGATGTCTTGATGAGTCTTAAACATATTAGCTCAGTTATAATGTAGTCATAGATATAACTGCATCAAGATATAAATATTGGTCGATCTACTTCTATATACATGGGTATATTCACATATACATACTATACACATATTACATACATATAAATCAATTAAATATAAAATTTGAACAGAAAAAACTTGCCTGTTTCCACCACGGGCCCAAAGGTTTTTATTTATTTATTTATTTGTTTATTATTATTTTTTCATCAGCAACAACAAAGATTTTTTTAAAAGCCTGAAAAAGAGGTGACAATAAGGCCTCCTCTACAAAGAAGAAAGAAATAGAAAGGCAAAACAGTGGGAGAAAATGAAACCCCCCCACCCTTCCCCCCCCCTTGGTCTTATTGCATGTGGCACCATTTTGATGAACTGGACAGCATCAAATCCTTCATATTCACTCATAGGATAACAGGTTTTTTGACCTTGTCATTCAGATGAGGACGTTAAGTTCTATGCTTATCTCTTGAGCATAGACTAGTCCAATAATAGTGTCAGTTGTCAGTCAATAATAGTGTCGGCAGCCAGCAAATCCAAATTCAGTCTTTAGAAGCCACAGTCCAACAGCTTGGAGAAAAGGTTGACCTGAAGAGTGGATTTCATCAGGTTGCAATGCATCCTGACCCCTCTCCCCAAAAAAAAGACAAGACCATAAACAAGGTGACACTACATATCATAAATTCACACCCAATCTGCTGCAATAAAAAAAAGTGGA